AAAAAAAATGTATGACATATAAAAAAACATATTTTTTCAGTTCATTGGGGGGTTTATACTTGTTTTTGGCAGTTTAGTAAATTAGTTCAAAGATTCGAAAATGGGTTAAGTATTTTCAATCAAAATAAAATTAGAAAAAAAAAATTGTATATTAAATTATTTCAAAAGTAAATAGATATTATTTTACCGGTGTTAACGTCACGTAATGATTTTGACGTTACTTAAGAAATAAACTTAGCGAACTATGTAATATTTAACTTAATAAAATATTTATGAAGCCTATAATTTTAACTATTATTCATAACATGAAATACAAAATTAATTCTGAATGATTTTAAAGAAAAAAAACATTGAACGAAGTTGGCAGAACATGTAACTACGATCGTAGTCACACAAACTTATTGTTTTTGTGTAATAACTGATAACAGTAGGCTTAACAAAACTGACTTATGTGAAATATTTTTTTTGTAATTTTATACAAACGATGTAAATACTATCCAGAAGAACACATATTTTTATTTCAAACACTATTATAATTGAAAACTGTTTTAATTATTAACTCGTTTTAAATAGATTATACTTCAAATAGTATAATAAATTGTTGCACGTTGAATAACTATTTAAATAATATTTAAATTTATATTTAATCATTGAATAAAGGTTCCAGAAAAATTGTTTCAATAATAGTATGTCAATTGTAGTACGCTGATTAGACCTATGAACTCAATTATTTGTTCATAGTATTGTATACAATTACATTTCAATTATAAATTACAGACTTCAAAATATGACATCGAATTTCATATAGTAAGCACGCAAACCGATAAGATAGTTAAACATTTTATTGTTGTGAAGTTAGCTTTTTAAAAGTAAAATTTTCATTTTTATAAGCAATTAAACTAGAGATTGTGTTACTCCAAAGTTATGTATTCTTTGACGTGTACTCTGTAATCAAAAAAGTATATACAATTTTATAGCTCAAAGTTACATATTTCATGTGTTATTACATGAAAGTTAAGATAAGCTCTTCGTGTGGATACAAAAGACTTCATTATTTACACACAGCCCGCATATATCAACTACCTAATAATGTCTTTTTCCGTCATATGTTTTTTGTTTAGCCGATAGTAAAAAACTAGCAGCTGTTATTTAAGTAATGAACCGACTCAGTGAATGAAAAGTAAACAAATACGTGTACGGGTATGGCAAACTTTTGTATGTTAAACAAAAGAGTAGGGCTCAGGAGCAAGAAAAACGGCAAGACAAGAATGACGTTAAATTTTATATATTCACTAGTTCTTTTCCCGAAGTTTTTTGTTTACATAAAGTGCACACACACACACACACATATATTTATATATATATATATAAATATATAAAGTTGTACGTTTAACTCAGATAATAAGCGACCACACCCTGGGGTTGAAAAACATGAGTAAATTAATTATGTACACACTAATCGGGCGTCAAGTAATTTGCTACAAGTATAGAATATACTAGAAAAAACTGGAATAAACACTATTTTTATATTTAATTATAATAAAATCATCAGTACACTGTCCCTACTTTTTGGTTTCAACTATTTTCGCTGTAAGGTCAACGACAAATATATGTTACATTGTAATAAATGGATATTTCTCGAGTACTAGTTTCCGAATGAAAAACAAACTATCAAGCATTACAATTTCAATCACACGTTATGATAAAAATTAATTTTGTTTTTGTTTATGTGCGTTTAGAATATTTAAATATTCGTTTTTGGATTTTTCCAGAAGTGAAAATCATGATTAGTACAATAAAATTATTCTTTGTGTCTGAATTAGATTTACATGACCAAGAAGTTAATACATGGTAAGTAAATCACAACCACTTCTATAAAATATATCTAATGGTTATTATTCAATATAATAAGGATTGAAATTCTAAATATTTTTATTTGTTTCAAAACAATTTATTTATATTTCACTATAAATGCAAATCTTATAAATTAATCATTTGATATTTATTTAAAAAATTATTTTCAGTTCTACATTAAATAAAATGAATAGTGAAGATATAATTTATAAATAATTACTTACTTTATAAATGAACCACATTTGGCAAGTCTGAAAGTATTAAAAAGTAAGTTGATATGTGCAATGCGGAATATATGGTAACGAATTTCTATTGTTTTCATATATTTTAACAATTTTTCCTTACTTTTTGAACACTTTGTAAAGTGTCCTACAATGCTCTGATAATTTGCCATAAAAAATACATTGATTCGTCAGAAAATCGTGGAACACCCTGAATATTATTATGAATATTTAAAAAATATATTTTAATTGGACAACTTTTACATAAATAAACTTGAATCCTGTGAGTAATACTAAATTATTCTTTTTTTAAATTTTACATTGCACATACCATTTATATATATTTTAATTTGAGATGCTAATAAAATACTCATTAATATTATTTGAAAAGAATTTCTGAGCAAATGTTTTTGTTTTATATGGGTCAGATAATTTTTTTTCTTTTAGATGCTGTTACCACTTCAAGTGCATGACCGAGTTTTTACTAAATCCATCACTCAACTTGCTCCGGTCATGTCGTAAGCGATATTAGTTGCAGAAACATCGGAAAGGTTTTTTTTCGTTAGTAGAAAGGTCTCTTGGACTTTTACAAGGGTAATTTTTCATTGAATCACTGACGCACGAAGATATTAGGACAGATCCGTCAATTATCGTCACCTGCACACTTTAAACGACTAAAGGGGATCGTTTTTTTCTTTGACCTTTTGTCAAAATTCTAACGGTCATTGCCGTTAAAGATGGTTTTTTCAATTAATTAAAAAATAAATAATCTATTTTATTGTTATAATAAAAATTGATTTAAATAACATTGAGAGTTTTAATTAGCAATTTAATTTCTATTGAAATAATTAAATTATGAGCGCAGTGGTACACATTTTCTTTTTTAAATTTTATAATCCCAATAGAATACTAAAGATCTCATCATATTTTTTGGCTACGTTTCAAAACGATACGCCTCGAAATTGCAAAGTCAGCAATGAACGTAATATAAACAAAATATCATATGAAACAAGTTTAAAGAGTCTGAGTACCGACCTTTTTTCAGGGGTCGAATGTAAGCAATTTTTCCGTTTTTATATGTTACACAGTATAATTGTGTGAGAAGTAAATGATTATTATTGTGAGTGTTCATTATTTAATTTCCGCAATGTTATGGACAATAATAAAACCGATTTTGTGTACTTGTTTTATTTATTTGTCCATCTTCTTCTTTTCCTGGCAATTCTATAGAATCCCATGCAGTTTTTATAGTTTAATAATCATGACATTTTTGGTAAGTCTGATTAATCATACAAGGCATATTTAGTACAGCACAAAATTGCTCTAAATTTATGAATTCCTGATCAGTATTTAATGTAGCAGTAACCACTGCAGTATTTTTTTTTAGAGAATCACTAAACTCGGGATCTTCTTAAAAGATAATTAATTTTTATTGCATAACTTACATTCAAAATGAAATTCTGAAAAAAAACTTTTTTGAATTTCAATCTTAAAAAGAAGATTTTAAAAATTACAGGCGAATAACTCGTGTTTAATTGATTTCACACTATTAAAAAATACTCAATATTTATTATTCTACAGCAATTTAAATTATACCTAAAATGGTAAACTATTTTTATTAATTTCATCATGAAATATTATTATCAAAAGTATACTAATTCTTTTTGAATCAATAGTTAACTTCTAATGAAAATTGTTTACAAGTATCAAAAGGTCACAATGGCAAACCATCATCATCAAAACTATCATTATCAATTTTTTTTAAAAAAATGTTTGTTTCTAATGAATTATATTTTAACATTGCCCTTTTACAATAATATTTAATCATGAAAAAATTGCTCACTCATTTATTAAATATTCCTCGATACTTGTCTGAGATATGTTAAATAAAATGTAAGTTTGAGAACTGTACACTTTCTACCAAAATAATATAAATTGTATTTATTTTTTTATTTCCCTCTGTAACTGAAGTTATATTTTGATTGTGAAGTATTATTCTTTTTTTTTTTTTAATTTTTTTCAAAAAATCACAAATTGTATTTAGTTGAAGACATTGCCCGTAAAAATTGAAAAAACTTCACTAGTTCCCTATAAATGGCCCACAATATCAAAAATATTACGATTTTTAAAATTGTTAAATTTTACATTTTTTTCTTCAATTTTTTTTTGCACTCGGGGTATGAAGTTCAAACCCCTTCAGATTGAATAATTTTTTTTGCATTTTTTTTTTTAATTCTTTTTTGAGATGGAAAAAAATCAATAATATTAAATGATATTCAATGAATATCATGGATCTCAACATTATAGTCTCCCCTCGTTATAAGGAATTTCTTATTCATAATTAAATATTTTACTATATGGTTTTTGTGTGTGCCATTAATTTTTTTCAGCTCTCACGTGACTAATACATCCAAAAAAGATGATTTTAATCATATTGTATTTATAATCACCAAGTATTGGAAAAGTTCTTTGAATTCCAGAAATTTAGATAAATATCTCAAAATTATGGTACTGTAAAAAATAGTTGTTTCAAAAAAAAAATTTTTAATTAATCATCATTAAATTAGTTGGAGTATAAAATTTGTTTTTATATTGAATTAAACAGCAAAATCGTATCACTAAAATGTAAAATTTTTTAATGTTCATAGATTATTTATACTTTACTAAACCAAATTATTACGCTAATTTCAAGTCTGAAACTAGATTTTTTTCTATAACCTCTTTTTTGAAATTATTACTGATTAGAAAAAAATTATTTATACATGAAAAAATTACATCAAGTTATTATAAATTTTTAATATGTTAAAAATAATGCATACAAAATTTCAATTCAAAACGTAATTTTTAACTTATTTTTTTTTGATTATTTAAAGTTTATTTTTATAAATATTCATAGTTAATAAAATACTATTTTTACATAAAAATTACAAAATCCTGAAAGATTTCATAAATTGTTGTACAAAAAGTTAAAAAGTTTGCAAATTGTTATCGTTAAATTTAAGATTTTATGAGATATTTTTAGACTGATATATAAGCATGATCTTATTTTTGAATAATGATATTTTGATTTACTGAAAAACAAAACAGTCAATGTACTTCAAAAATTAAAAAAAATTATACATAAACGCACTTATATATATTGAAAATCAAAAAAGGTACACGAGATTTTTTTATCCGCAATCTCTTGTTTTAAACAAACCCAAAATCCTTGCAAAACATCTGAACACCTTCTTCAACTTTTTCTTTTAAGTCAAGATATAAGTCATCTTTGTCCTCATAAATAAGATTTTCTAATTGGTCTATGTATTCATCTATGAATGGATAATAAATTGGTATATTATTATGTTGAAATAGTCTTATTTTGGCTAAAAAAAATTGATCGTTTACATCATATAAGTTTTTTAATACAGATAATAAATCATCTGAGCTTTTTAACTCCACGTAATTTTTAATATGTATGAATTTATTCATTTCGTTGTAATATTTTATGTTATAATTAATAAAATTATCTTTACGATTATTAAATTCAAAATAATCCAGCCCCTTAAGCATGCATTGTGATAAGGGATCAAAAACCTTAATCATTTGTGTTAACTTTGTGTATTCAGTTAATAAAAACTCAGAACTTCCTGTTTCATCATCAAACATATCTAGGCATATAATACAAAAATAACTATATATGTGTATTTGTAATAATCCATATAAGTTACTTAGTACATATGTGACCTTGGGTTTTATATCATTATCATTGTATTCATCATCAAGTGCTTGTTGAAGTATATTTTTATCATATTCGCCATTAGGAAGTATTTTCATTAATTATGTCCAACCGGAGTATTTTAGTATTTCCGTTATTTTTCTTTCGTCTTTCACCGAATCACTGAAACACGAAAAACTACAATAAAGATAAGTGAGTAATACAAAAAATATCAATCCAATTAAATTCATTATCAATTACACGAAGTTAATCNTACAAAAAATATCAATCCAATTAAATTCATTATCAATTACACGAAGTTAATCAAAGATACACGATTTATTTTAATAGTCTCAAACGTTGTAGGTATAATGTCTGAACATTTTTATCAAAATATATAAAAAAAATTGAATTATTTGTACACGTTATTAGAACATGACAAAACATATTGGTAATTTAAAACGTATTTTTAATATAATAGACATTTGTATTGACAAATCATAAATAATATATTTACCGCATTATTTTGACGGTGCTAAATTTAGATTAAACAGTTAATACCAAAGAAAATTAGTTATAATAAATAATTAATAAAATGAATTTTTTTCTCATTTACTGATAGGCAAGTATATATTTTCAATATTACGTTATTTTTTTGTTTAGTCGTAATCGATATCTTAACTATTAATAGAAGTACATGGTAGTTCATAGAATTCTACACTATTAACCTATTTTTTTTATCTTTTAAAGATGATTTTTATGAAATTTTATAGTTAATCAAGTACGATTTATGTATAAAAATCACAAAATTCTGAAAGATTTAATAAATAGTTGTAAAAAAAGTTAAACTTTATTATTAGCTCAACTTCCAAATTTTGTAGCATTAAATAGAATTTTTTTGGAGAAATAAAAAATTGTATTTTTAAGATTAATGTATGGTATAGTTACTATTAACTGTAAATTTATAAGGAAAACTCAAAATTTCGTAAGTCATTATTTTTTTGTATTTTTATTGTAATAAATCATTTAAATAGAAGTCTTAGTAATCATTTTTAAGTATCTCTTGGTGTTTAATTAGATGCTATAATTGAAATATTCAGAACTATTTTTGGTATAGTTATATCCTATAGTATTATACAATATACTGATATTCAAAAATATTCCGTACCTAGTTACACCATTTTTTTCGTCCGCTGCTCTATTGTTGAATTTATTTTGAATATATTTTTTATATGTTAACAGACGTTTTAACTTATTATTAATAATAATAAAATTATATAAAAATATAATCAAAATCAATAGAAATTTGGAAAAAAATTGTTTTTTATTTAATCGTTTTTCTATATTTAAATACTGGTTTTTTGCTAATTAGTAATTACTTAAAAAATTATGAGTAATAAAAAAAAATCTAATTGAAAATTTGAAATTATTGCAAAATATTGGTTTAGAAAAGTATATTATTTATACTAATGAAAATTTTCCGTATAGTTATATCTTATAGTATTATATAATATACTGATATACAAAAATATTCTGTGCTTAGTTTCATCATTGTTTTCGTCCGATGTTCTGTTGTTGAATTTAATTTTAACCAATATTTTAGCTTTGATGTGAAGTTGAGAAGGTGTTAATTGTACTATGATATGTTTATTTAATTTTTAGTATCTATCACTACTTTTTCTCAGCTCTCACTGAATCTTTTTTCCTCAAAGATACGTCAAAAATTACAAATCGTAACTAGTAGAAGACATTTTCTTCAAAAATTGAAAACATTTTCCTCGTTCCCCGTAAATGGGGAAATCTCCATCAAAATTACAAATTTAAAAATCGCTAATATTCCACAATTTTTCAATTTATTTGTACTTAAGACTGCCATAACTTTATCAAATATGAACAAATTATTATAATTTTTTATAAATGCAAATTTACTTTACCTATCATTTGATATATTTTTTTTATAAATTTGACCCTTTACCTTCTCACAGAAGGGGATTGAAAATGACAACATTTTTACAAAAAATTAACATTTTTAACTTAACTTTTGAAAGTGATCCGGAAAGTCTGACACTATTATATATATCTTAAATTAAAGCTTATGTAATATACTTTATTATGGAAAAAAAAAATTCGGACTTTTGTCTTCACGGCGAAGACTACCGTATGCTATTTTTGTTATAAAATTCTTGATTTTATATTTTACATTTTTAACTTTATAATTCTTTTTTATATTTTTAACTTTATAACGCTATAACTTTTTGAAAAATGTATGGATCAATACAGTTATTTTATGAGAAATAATATTTATATACCTCTTTATTTTTTTTTTAAATCGGACTAAATCCCTTTATACAGGGGGGGTTCAAATCTTAAAAATGCATATAGAAAGTAGAACTTTTTCAAGCTAATTTTTGAAAGTGTTCCGGAAATACTGACACTTTTACATACATCTTAATAAGCTTATGTAATATACTTTAATATCAGAAAAAAAATATTCGGACTTTAATTTGTCGTCATGGTGAAAATAGACATCAAAGTTATTTGATGTCAGTTTAGTTATTAAAACAAAGTTGTCTAGGTATTCGTTAATTTATTTTTGTCTTGTAAATTGTAGTTAAAAAAGAAAATACAACTTTTGTGTAAAAATTGGAAAATTCAGAAAAATTATAGTAAAAAAATTATTCAAACATTTTTTAAAAAGTTATTGTTATAATTATTATTATTATAAATTTTTATTATAATTTCCATTGGCATCAATCAGGGATGGTGATTAAAAAGCAAGTCTCTGTAATGGTTTTTTTCGAAATATTTATTTTGGCTTTATTCTTTATCATATTTTGAAAAATATTTTTAAAAAAGGCAATTTTCGGATTTTGGTACATTTTAAAGTGTTATTTAAAGTAGTTTAGGGACCACAACCCCACACCAAAAATATTTAAATTGAAACTTTTTTTGTACATCTTTTACTTAAAATTTTTATATACTATCCGTAGTCCATAGAACCTTCTAATTTTCGTTTTAAGTATTGTTATCTTTTAATATAATAATAATTGAAGTTTTAAAATATTGTGACATTATTCCAGTCAAGTTTACGATTTTTTTCGGAAAGGGTCCTAAATATTAAGTAGATATCTAAATAATCTAAATATCTGTAGATTAAAAAAATATTAATTTTTAAATTTTTTATTATAACTATTATTTTCTTGGATAGATATATTTATTGTTTAATTTTAATTTAGAACCACTCAAATAATGTGGAAAATATATTATTTATTATTTGTCAATATAAATGTCTATTATATTAGAACTACGTGTTAAATTACTAATATATTTTTGTCATGTTCTAAAAATGTGAACACATAATACAATTTTTCTTATATATATAGATAAACATTTTCAGACCTAATACCCACAACGTTTTAGACTATTAAAAAAAGTTTTATATCTTTGATTAACTTTCGTGTTACTGAAAATGAATTTACTTAGGTTGATATTTCTTGTATTGCTAGCTTATCTTTACGTTAGTCTTTCGTTTTCCAGTGGATTGGTGAATGACAAAATAAAAATAACGGACTTACTAAAAAACCCGGGTTGGAAAAATTTAATGAATGAACTGCCTGATGACAACTATGAAAAAATTACACTTCAAGAAGCATTTAATGATGATGTGGATGAATATGAGAGAATATTTAACGCCGGGTATGTACTAGGTAATCTTTATGGAACACTGCAAACTGAAATATATCAATTTTACCATGCTATATCCTATGAATGTATTGAAAAAAATAATTATAATGTTGAATTTATATTAACTGAATTCAGAAAGTTAGCAAAAATGATTTATATGTTTGATCCTTTACTACAATGTATGAATAAAGCGCTGACTTCTTTTGAATCTAATAGACCTGTTTATAAAATACTGAGTGACAACATAATTAAATACAAAGAAATTAATGAATTTTTACTTGAAAGTAATCTTCAGAATTTAAAAAATGAAAGTTCAAATTATGCATCAGATATTTTAAACAAATTTATAGAGTATAAATGGTATTATTATAACTTATTGGCTCAAGGAGTAGAGGAGATAAATCCCTTAAACAAACTTGCAGAGATACACGAATATCATTTCGGGCTTATATGTCAATACGATAAAATCGATGATTCAAATTATCGTCCATTCGTCATGGAGTACATTAATCAATTAAAAAATCTTTCTAATCATAAAAAAAAGTTATATCCTGACCCGAATCATGTTAACATTAGAAAAAAAGTTGAAGAAGGTGTTCAGATGTTTTGCAAGGATTTTGGGTTTGATTTTGAAGAAGAAATTGGGAATAATGAAAACTAGTGAATTTTTTTTGTTTTTCAATATATATAAGTTCGTTTACCTATACTTTTGAAAAATTTCGAAGTATCTTGTCTGTATTTTATTTCGGTGAATTATTATTCAAAAATTATAATTTTTATTCATTTTTTCTAGTTTTACAAATCTTAGCTTTATGAATATGTATTTTATGTATTTTAATGTATATAAGTGCGTTTACCTATACTTTTTTAAACATTTTAAAGTACCTTGTTTTTATTCTGTTTCGATGAAACAAACAATCATTATTCAAAAATTAAAATTTTTTCTAATTTTTCCTAATTTTACAAATCTTTACTTTATATATATATGTATAAATGATTATTTCATGTATTATATTATATTTATAATTGTTCTGAATACTTTTAATTTATTTAAAAATAAATGTACCTTATAAAATGTCACTAATTTTCTTTATTTATACATACACTTTTGAATAACATCAGATTTATTTTAAAAGAAGTGAATTTGAAGGTTTTTTAAAAACTTTAAAATATAATGCAAATATATACTAAAAGAACCCATAAAATTGTAATAATATTCATCTTAAAAAAAATTTTATATGTTAAAAAGTATTTATGACATTATATTTTTTTGTTTGTTTAAAGGTATATGTTTTTCTCAAATTATCTTAATAGATTTTTTGTTTAACTTTTATAACTTAAAAGGGCGTAAACTATATTTTTTCTTATGACAACATACATAAGTAATAAATGTTGCTATTTCCAAAAATAAGCTAGTATATTATGTAACATAATTAACTAATTTATTTATTAGATAATGATAATAATAAGAAACTGATTGGTCGACAACAACTTTTGAACTAATAGTTCAGTAGTTAAGAAGATTTTAAAATAAATATTGTTCTTTTTTTTGTGGTATATGAGTGGTGAATAATAAATGGTTCACGCTGTATACATATATGCTATAGCATATATTTATTCAGGTATAGTTGGGTATATATTGGGCAGAGAGATGTGAAGATGCTTGGGGCAAGATNTATTTTAGCTTTGATGTGAAGTTGAGAAGGTGTTAATTGTACTATGATATGTTTATTTAATTTTTAGTATCTATCACTACTTTTTCTCAGCTCTCACTGAATCTTTTTTCCTCAAAGATACGTCAAAAATTACAAATCGTAACTAGTAGAAGACATTTTCTTCAAAAATTGAAAACATTTTCCTCGTTCCCCGTAAATGGGGAAATCTCCATCAAAATTACAAATTTAAAAATCGCTAATATTCCACAATTTTTCAATTTATTTTTACTTAAGACTGCCATAACTTTTTCAAATATGAACAAATTATTATAATTTTTTATAAATGCAAATTTACTTTACCTATCATTTGATATATTTTTTTTATAAATTTGACCCTTTACCTTCTCACAGAAGGGGATTAAAAATGACAACATTTTTACAAAAAATTAACATTTTCAACTTAACTTTTGAAAGTGATCCGGAAAGTCTGACACTATTATATATATCTTAAATTAAAGCTAATGTAATATACTTTATTATGGAAAAAAAAAATACGGACTTTTGTCTTCACGGCGAAGACTACCGTATGCTATTTTTGTTATAAAATTCTTGATTTTATATTTTACATTTTTAACTTTTTGAAAAATGTATGGATCAATACAGTTATTTTATGAGAAATAATATTTATATACCTCTTTATTTTTTTTTTAAATCGGACTAAATCCCTTTATACAGGGGGGGTTCAAATCTTAAAAATGCATATAGAAAGTAGAACTTTTTCAAGCTAATTTTTGAAAGTGTTCCGGAAATACTGACACTTTTACATACATCTTAATAAGCTTATGTAATATACTTTAATATCAGAAAAAAAATATTCGGACTTTAATTTGTCGTCATGGTGAAAATAGACATCAAAGTTATTTGATGTCAGTTTAGTTATTAAAACAAAGTTGTCTAGGTATTCGTTAATTTATTTTTGTCTTGTAAATTGTAGTTAAAAAAGAAAATACAACTTTTGTGTAAAAATTGGAAAATTCAGAAAAATTATAGTAAAAAAATTATTCAAACATTTTTTAAAAAGTTATTGTTATAATTATTATTATTATAAATTTTTATTATAATTTCCATTGGCATCAATCAGGGATGGTGATTAAAAAGCAAGTCTCTGTAATGGTTTTTTTCGAAATATTTATTTTGGCTTTATTCTTTATCATATTTTGAAAAATATTTTTAAAAAAGGCAATTTTCGGATTTTGGTACATTTTAAAGTGTTATTTAAAGTAGTTTAGGGACCACAACCCCACACCAAAAATATTTAAATTGAAACTTTTTTTGTACATCTTTTACTTAAAATTTTTATATACTATCCGTAGTCCATAGAACCTTCTAATTTTCGTTTTAAGTATTGTTATCTTTTAATATAATAATAATTGAAGTTTTAAAATATTGTGACATTATTCCAGTCAAGTTTACGATTTTTTTCGGAAAGGGTCCTAAATATTAAGTAGATATCTAAATAATCTAAATATCTGTAGATTAAAAAAATATTAATTTTTAAATTTTTTATTATAACTATTATTTTCTTGGATAGATATATTTATTGTTTAATTTTAATTTAGAACCACTCAAATAATGTGGAAAATATATTATTTATTATTTGTCAATATAAATGTCTATTATATTAGAACTACGTGTTAAATTACTAATATATTTTTGTCATGTTCTAAAAATGTGAACACATAATACAATTTTTCTTATATATATAGATAAACATTTTCAGACCTAATACCCACAACGTTTTAGACTATTAAAAAAAGTTTTATATCTTTGATTAACTTTCGTGTTACTGAGAATGAATTTACTTAGGTTGATATTTCTTGTATTGCTAACTTATCTTTACGTTAGTCTTTCGTTTTCCAGTGGATTGGTGAATGACAAAATAAAAATAACGGACTTACTAAAAAACCCGGGTTGGAAAAATTTAATGAATGCACTGCCTGATGACAAATATGAAAAAATTACACTTCAAGACGCATTTAATGATGATGTGGATGAATATGAGAGAATATTTAACGCCGGGTATGTACTAGGTAATCTTTATGGAACACTACAAATTGAAATATATCAATTTTACCATGCTATATCCTATGAATGTATTGCAAAAAATAATTATAATGTTGAATTTATATTAACTGAATTCAGAAAGTTAGAAAAAATGATTAATATGTTTGATCCTTTACTACAATGTATGAATAAAGCGCTGACTTCTTTTAAATCTAAGAGACCTGTTTATAAAATACTGAGTGACAACATAATTAAATACAAAGAAATTAATGATTTCTTACTTGAAAGTAATCTTCAGAATTTAAAAAATGAAAGTTCAAATTATGCATCAGATGTTTTAAACAAATTTATAGAGTATAAATGGTATTATTATAACTTATTGGCTCAAGGAGTCGAGGAGATAAATCCCTTAAACAAACTTGCAGAGATAAACGAATATCATTTCGGGATTATATGTAAAGACGATAAAATCAATGATTCAAATTATCGTCCATTCGTCATGGAGTACATTAATCAATTTGAAAATCTTTCTAATCATAAAAAAAAGTTATATCCTGACCCGAATCATGTTAACATGAGAAAAAAAGTTGAAGAAGGTGTTCAGATGTTTTGCAAGGATTTTGGGTTTGATTTTGAAGAAGAAATTGGGAATAATGAAAACTAGTGAATTTTTTTTGTTTTTCAATATATATAAGTTCGTTTACCTATACTTTTGAAAAATTTCGAAGTATCTTGTCTGTATTTTATTTCGGTGAATTATTATTCAAAAATTATAATTTTTATTCATTTTTTCTAGTTTTACAAATCTTAGCTTTATGAATATGTATTTTATGTATTTTAATGTATATAAGTGCGTTTACCTATACTTTTTTAAACATTTTAAAGTACCTTGTTTTTATTCTGTTTCGATGAAACAAACAATCATTATTCAAAAATTAAAATTTTTTCTAATTTTTCCTAATTTTACAAATCTTTACTTTATATATATATGTATAAATGATTATTTCATGTATTATATTATATTTATAATTGTTCTGAATACTTTTAATTTATTTAAAAATAAATGTACCTTATAAAATGTCACTAATTTTCTTTATTTATACATACACTTTTGAATAACATCAGATTTATTTTAAAAGAAGTGAATTTGTAGGTTTTTTAAAAACTTTAAAATATAATGCAAATATGTACTAAAAGAACCCATAAAATTGTAATAATATTCATCTTAAAAAAAATTTTATATGTTAAAAAGTATTTATGACATTATATTTTTTTGTTTGTTTAAAGGTATATGTTTTTCTCAAATTATCTTAATAGATTTTTTGTTTAACTTTTATAACTTAAAAGGGCGTAAACTATATTTTTTCTTATGACAACATACATAAGTAATAAATGTTGCTATTTCCAAAAATAAGCTAGTATATTATGTAACATAATTAACTAATTTATTTATTAGATAATGATAATAATAAGAAACTGATTGGTCGACAACAACTTTTGAACTAATAGTTCAGTAGTTAAGAAGATTTTAAAATAAATATTGTTCTTTTTTTTGTGGTATATGAGTGGTGAATAATAAATGGTTCACGCTGTATACATATATGCTATAGCATATATTTATTCAGGTATAGTTGGGTATATATTGGGCAGAGAGATGTGAAGATGCTTGGGGCAAGATAATTGCCTTGAATTAAAAAAATATAGTGATAAAATTGATATATTAACAAAATATTGACAATTTTTTCGTATAATTTCAATAAAATTAGTTAATGAAAAAAAAAAAAATTTTTAGGAGAATTCTTTCGGAGGTCATTAGGTTTGTTTTCTTTTTTTAATATTTTACCAAGATTATAATCAAAATAATTTTGCTTTTTCAAAAACTTTTACCTTATCTAATAAGTTAGTTGACTTAAATCTAATTATTATCAAAAATTTGTAAGGTTAATACATACAATACAATACATTAATAATAATACATACCGAAAGTATTATTAAATGGATTTTAAAACTGTAACTAATCTTAAAATTTGATAATTTAAAGTTTAAGTTCAATTAATGATTCGTAGGAGGTCACATAATATATTTGGTTTCTGTAATAATTTTTTCAACGATGTATATGTGCTAAGTTTCTAGAAATAAGAAAAATTGCCAAAAAATGAAATTATTTCGGTTCCTAGCCCTGATTTTTACTCTCTATTTTATTTTTAACTATTAGATAGACCAATTAAAAAATGTATAATACATCTAGAACTCCTTAAGGAGGTAGAAGATGACTGTTTCATAATTGATGAATACATAGATATTTTATTTTTTAAACATAACCTAAATAAACTGTAATATGTCAATTGTTCATCCCACCTGTTATTGTTTTTTGAAAGAAAAATTTTCAGTGTTTATTCAAACTATAGATTCATGATAAAGAAATGTGATAATTATGAAAGTTAGAATATTTCAACGGAAAATTTGTTTTAAAATGAATCACTCTAATAATATTACCTTAGTAAAATATGTTTAACAAAATTAAAGGGGTTGAACAGGCAAAAGTAAAGAGTAAGTTTAGATCGTCAGTCACAAACTAGACGTAACAATGACAACCCTTTTTCCTTTGAATAGATATCAACGGCAGTGACCGAAACGACCAAGACACTGAGATGATATTTATAAAATTCGTAGAATATTTACGGTCCAAAGAATCGCAAAAGGACGGCATTGTGTGTCATGTGTATGCATATAAACAGAATTGTGACATACCAGCCAGAAGTGCTCATAATAAAAGTTCAATGGAAGTTTTCGAGCGGCAAAAGATACTTATTAGTAGTTATCAGTTGGTGTGCTTTTACTTTTGTGAAGTATTATCACTCACTAAGACTAACGACATAAGATAATACAGACAAAATATTTAATTTACCCGACAATCCGTTTAAAAGAGATAGCCAAAACATTTTACCAAAACACCTCGGTCGACCTTTCAAATCCTTTACACTTCATTTCAAAATTGCTCTTAACATAGTGAGAAAATGTTAACAATTTACGCATTTTGCTAAAAGGTTTCAGTAAACTAAAAACTTAATTAAAAAAAAAATTAATACTTGAGATCATCTCAATATTTTTATTAATAATGAACTATTGTTTTACAGAAATTTTTATTACCAAACAAATATATTAAGTGAATATATTTTAATAGAGTGTTCAGTAAATAATTAAACGGGTTAATTGTTACAAAAGTTCAGAACAATAGAAACTCGTTTCATTACTTACTAAACATTGTATATATTCTCAAACAAATATCTAAAAACGTGATATTTTTTAATATTACGTTCTAAAAAAACTGTTAGTTTCATTTTATTTTCTGGTTGTTTATAATAAAATAATTGATTTTATTTTTGACAGCGAACAATCTTTTTTTTTTTCAAACTATTGACTTAAATCAATTCGATTATGAAATTGTGTTATGTTCCAAGTTAATATTTACGAGTTTTATTTATGTAGAATTTTACATATTGTGCTTAGACAATTTTATGAGACATACATTCTGTAAAATTTATTTATAACTTAACAACTCATATGTACACTTTTTGTCGTCACAAAATTGTTTGTATTTTAACATTTATTTTTATTTTCTTATATTTTTTTTATGATATTTAAACGATAAAATAATGTGAACTATATTATGCTATTTTGATTTTTGACTCGAAAGAAAACATAATACCTTTGGAAAATGAGAACATATTAAACAGTAATTTTTTTGTTATTTATGACTTGTGTTAAACACGTGTTTAAAAAATATCAAGTAAAATTAACAATGTTAACTAACCTTAGTATTATAGATTAATTTATGGTCTTACGATGCATTAATTTCGTCTGTTGGTGAAACTTGAAAGTTTTGAAAGTGTACAGACCTTAAAGTTGTCTGCAGTGGAAGAGTATGGCAATGATATTATAGTATTAGAAAGCTGCTAAGGCTTACCTGTTGTGTAATTAGATAGGATCAAAACTGCCATTACATTAACCGTCATCACTTTTGAAATACCTCAAATTACTCTGAATTATATTATTTCATTTCTAAGCATCAGTTTTCAAGTTTAAATAATAGTTATACACTATATAATTATTATATAAACAAGAAAATGTACATAGTATACAATTATTATATAAATATGAAAATCGGCACGTGTTATTCCTTGTGTTTACTATATATTATATAGTAAACGCAAGTAAAAAAGTGCCAAGTCTTTAAGTCAACCTTAACTGAGGATAATTATTCACTTCATGTACATAAGTAAGTGTACTTGTTAAAGTGTCAAGTGAATCATTTATATTACACTATTATATTGACACTCAAGTCAACAACCTTGAAAACTTATAATTGCATGTCATGATCAGTAATAATATTCATCGTTGAATATTATTATAATAATGTTCGAGACATTAAGGATATACTCTTATTATAACTAAAGCGCGGAATTATATGCATTTATACATTTTGATAAGTTATTCTGAACACACAATTAGCCGGTACAAATTTGTATTAATTGACTTGGAAAGTTAGTAATATGTTTTTACCGATATTAAAGTTTTGGGGGTATTAAGGTGGTTAATTTACCCATAAAACAAACAATTTTTCTACGCTAATATTTAATCCAACGACAAAGTTGCACGAATTTGGGACACTTCAAAATGGGTCAAACAAAATTTGTAAATATATATAATTCTGCGATCTAATTAGAACAGTGAGCACAGCAGGAGGCGAAGAAATAGAATGCAAAACTTTGTTAGAGCCGACTGAATAAACGGAGTTAGAAAGTTTTTAAATTTAACAAAGGGACGTGTTACTTCACTTTTTTTTTTCTAGTTAATTGTAAGTTATAACAAAGAAGATATTTCTAGTCATATATGAAAAAAATGTTCATATTCAAAAAGAGGTGAAAAAGAAAAATTTCTTTTCGAGAACTTTTCATTTAAAATTTTATCTAACAAACTACAAAAGTTGATCCTAAATAATGTTTTCTATATTTAAGTTCTAAAACTGAGTTTTTTTTTATGACTTTTCAAAAAATTTTCAATGATAAATAATTTTGTATATTTATTAAATTATATTCGTTTTTAAAGAGACTATTCCACTAATTTAATAATTTTTAATAATAATAATAGTATACTTTTCCATTGAAATTGTTTGTAACAATAAATAATTTATTGCTACTATGACAATTTGCGATAGGAAATTTATGAATTTCATTTCTTTAATATGTATACACATGTGTATATTACTTTCAGCATATCGTATTGCTTTATCATACTGTTTATATAACCGGAACTTGAAAGTTCGTGTATAGTTGTTTTGTGATAAAAACCATATATATCATCGTATAATATATGCACTTAATTAATATTTATTTAAAATTACTTAAGTCATGGATTACTTTTAATCGTAAATAATAGTAATAGAAATGGAAATGCAATAGATCCTTATTGTTCAAAAGTTATGTGTGTAGCCGGCAAAGTTACACATAGCTCGAATTGGCATCACCCCTTTTCAGTGTAGTGACAACAATCGTGTCCGGCACCTTACGAGCACTACGTCGGTGTACGCGATTGAAGTCGTACCGCATCTCTTGAGTCTGATGACTCGTGGCCAGTGAGCTGGCGTGGTTTTAATTTGTTACATTGTTTTTTGGTTGGTATTGGCCTGTTTAGGTGACAACCAACGCTTTATATTACCAGTTACTTGCTATTACTCGAGTGCTCAACGGAAATAGAGCAGCGGAGGTTGACATTCCATACGCAAAAGGAACAATTAACTCGGGAAGCGTTTTGGCAGTCGATTCAACGTTAATTGCACTATGGATAGCTGATGGCTGGGTGATGTTTCGATTTTGTTTGTTTTTTTTTTTACTATTACTATTCTAATGTTAATATATTGATATATTAAATATTTATTAGTTTGTCTATATATATATATGTATAATAAAATTACTGTTTATAATTGATATTATACGATTGTTAGGTGAAACCCCCCNATATTAAATATTTATTAGTTTGTCTATATATATATGTATAATAAAATTACTGTTTAGAATTGATATTATACGATTGTCAGGTGAAACCCCGCNTATAATTGATATTATACGATTGTTAGGTGAAACCCCCCGATCCGTCATTTATGTTAAGATAATTAACTTAACGTTAAAAGTATAAAGTGGTGAAATAATTTACTCTGGGAATTGTAAGTTTCATATCTATATATTTTTACACTTATAACTTCAAATTAATAAAATTTTAGTTACTTGCAGTTTATTGAATAACTTATAGGAATATTAAAACAAATTATTATTACAAGATAGTGAATAGCCAGATTATTTTTTAACTAAAAATAAAATTATTGTCATGTTATCAGAATACCGCAATTGTATGAAGTATGATTAATTAATATTAACCTCGTTTTGTTAATTATTTTCCTGACAAACGATAAGGAAAAAAAATTCCTTAATTTTCTTCTTTTTTTTTTTGCCGCTTTTATATTCTGTAGACTTAATAAAAAATTCATCTAGTCCAAATAGATAGAAATTTTACTAATAAACTTAATCTTATAAGCATTTAAAAATTACTATAATGTAAACAATTTTGACTAATCCAAAAACTATGAATTTAAACCAATCATAAAACATTGTATTCCATATAAAAATATGTTTATGTGATATTTTTGATAATAATATAATGTTTATAGCATATTATGATGATTTTTCTTTTGACGAATTAAACATGTTTGACATTTATAAATGGCTAATATGTATTTTAATTATACAATCAAAAAAACAATGCACTTTTTATTTTCTATCTAGTTAAATTTTGGGAACAGAAATTTAGTTTTTATTGAGAGTTATTAAAGTTGTCTACTTAAAGAATATGAGTTTTATGTAGTTTGATATTTGTACTTTACAGTATAATGGGAAAAAGTTTTTAATAGCGAATTTTATTACTTTTGACTTACCCTAAAATATACCAATTTATTCTAAGATAAAGCTTATTTTTATGTTTCAGATGTATAATTGAATGACAATCAGATATTCAAATTAAAAATGTAAGTATGCATATTCATATCGATAATATTTAAAAATTGAGTTTTGTGTTCTGTAAATACTTGACTTATAAAATTAATAACGTAATAATGTTATTGAAGTTTAAATTTATATTAAGCTCGAAATATTATATAACTGAGTGTATAAATGGTCTATTATAATTATAGAATATTTATATTTTCAACGATATTTTTAAGAACTGAACTGTATAAAAGACTATTAAAAAAATGAAAAACGGCAAATTACAAGTGTCTTAGGTTTTATAAATATTTTATTTCTCTGATACTCTGTGTAGCCGTTTGGGCTGTTTTAAAAAATTCAACCCAAATAAAAGAGAATAAAACTCCGCCGTACGGTTTATTAGGGGAAATTAATAATCAATAAAAATTGATTATTAATTCTCATTAATTTAAATTTGCCAAAAAAAAATATTTTTTGTTAACACAAAATAAACTTGTTCAGTTTAATAAATGCAACTAAATAGTCAAATACAAACAACCGAATCTTTTATTACTGAATTAAATAATCAAGAAATATAACCATCCATATTACTTACATTCAGTTCTGCAAAGGTGCTTGAACCATTTGAACTACAATTTATAAAAGTGATATGCTACCTGCAGTCGTACTATAATAATGTTCTAACCCAATGAAAATAAAACAGAATACAACTACATGAATCTACAATAATAATATGAACAGTGTATTTTAAAACGAAACTTGAACAAAGTTTTTACTAATTCATATAAAAAAACAAAAACCAACTTAACTTAACCTGTATATTTTTACAAGTACATATATTTTTTTTGTTTAATAAAAAACGACCGAGCAAAACAGGCCGCTGATAAGGCGTCCTAACAGCTGATTGCGGCCCATCAGCTGACCACACCCATACATTCAAACACTACTAGTGCAGCTCTCACGCTCTGGCGCGAACACTCTCAATAATTTGAATTTGAATATCTTTTAAAATAAAAAATTATCAAAAGTGGATAATAACAATTGACTTATTTTCCTTATATTAATTACTTTCCTTAGAAAGCACTAAAATTATTTAGTTTATTGAACTAAATCAACTAAGAAGATGTTTGATGTTACAATAGCTAATGACTGCAATTTATGATAGACACATTTTTAAAAATTCTTCTTATGTTAGTTCTTATTATTTATATTATTCATTCTAATACAGTCTTTAATCATCTATTTGTAGTTACATTTTTAAGTTACATTATAGATTAAAAATATATTTTGCGTTCACAAATGTTGTTGGATACACATCGATCGAATATGCTGTCAAGAAAATGTGTTTTTTGATTATTCATGTTATCGTTGTGTTACATCGAGTTGTTGTCGGTTTTTCTCTCTATGTTACCATTGTCGCAGTCATCTTAACGCTTCTTCTGATATAAGCTCTATGGTGTTTTGCGAGTAGTTTTTGTATTTGTTTTACTGTAAAAAGAAAATATCACCTTTGCGATTGTCGTATCCTGTGCGCTAAGTTTATCGCCGTTGGGTCTATATATTTTCTGAGATACATCACAATACCTTTGACAGCATATTGTACACTTTGGTCAGCTATTTGCATTCGACTTCAATTGATCCTTTCAATATTCAACATTATCATCAGCCGTTTCATTTAGCAGATAAGTATAATGCTTGTTCATTTATCTTTCTAAGACTCACTTGTATAATTTATTATTTGTTTATATCATCGCCTTTGTGGCATTAGTATTAAGTGTCCCCCCTATCCACATTGGTGTATATAAGATTTTATATTTATTATATAATACATTTAATTTGTATAATTATATCTCGTGAAATTCATTCTACATTCAAACATACAGTCCACTCATCTTATTCTTTATCCTCGACATAGCTAAAACTTAAGACAAAACAAAACCACGAACGTTAACGAACCCGCGTGAATACCACCGGGCGCTGCGTTCAAATAAATTTAATAGAAAATTTTATAGAGTTTATAAGTATTAATATAAAATAAATAAATTGTTAATCTGTAAATAGAATTAAAACTATTATGAAAAGTTTAAGATATATTAATAGTTAAAATGAATATAAAATAATATTTGTGCTTCATATAAAGAATATCATTAAAAAGTTAAAACTAAATTTAAAAAGTTTTCTTTTTTATTAAACGTTGACTATATATTTACCGGTTTGTGTCTATAAATTGATCAAGCAATTTTTGTCGCATTTTTTCATTTTCCATTTTGATTGATTTGACATAACTTTCAATCAATTTACCGTCTTTATCCCTGGCACTTTTAATACTTTCGATTATACTATTCAACTGACAAATTTCTTTAGACATTTCCTGGAAAATTTTTTCCTTCTCCGCAAGCTTGCACTCCATACACATTACTTCTTTCAATTGTTTACTCAATTCTTTCTGTATAGTTGTTATAGCTTCATGGTAACAATTGTCTTTTTCAGAACACTCAGAGTTTATTTGATTTAAATTGTCTTGCATTTGGCTGAGCTAATAAATGAAAAAACTCTTAACATTATTGACGAATTCTATGCTAATAATAACGAGATATTATAACATGTTTTAGATGAAAAAAAGTTGTATAACATACTTGGTATGGAGTATAGACGTTCTCATGGTGGGAGAGATAACAATTTTCCCTCATTTGAAGGGGTTATAGTATTTTTCTTATGTTAATCTCTCTCTAGGAAAAAATTCTGAGAACGTCCCTGGTGAGTATATGTTAAGTTTAAGTTGCACTTAAAATATTTTTTTATTGAATTTACGTATACACTTTACCTGGCATTCTAATTTTTTAGTATTGTCTTGATTATTTTTCAATTCAATTCCTGATTTTTCGAGTTCTTTTTTAAGTGACCATAAACTGTTGTCTTTTATTGACAATAGCTCGTTTAGTCGGTCAATATTTTTATGTTTAGTCTTAATGTCTAACTGAAGTTTTTCACAGAATTTATTCAGTTTCGCTTTTTCTCGTTCGAGTTGATTATATTTTATTTGCAAGTCATTCAAATCGGTCTTTAATGTGTGCCTAAGTTGTTCCTCGACCCGTTTTTCCTCTTTTAGACAGTAGTTTTCTTTTTGTACGACGTTCATTTCATCTTTGCATTTTTGAAATTTTATATAAAGGCATTTGTACCCTTTAATCAATTTCCGAAACATATCCCTTTGGTTTTCTACCATTGAATCTATCCAAGTGTTAATATCCGGTAGTTTACTTTCAAGCTCATCTTCATGTATAAATGATTTTTCGGCTACAAGCTTCTGGCACTCTTCTAAAAACGTTTCCACTTGTTTTATGTCTTTATTCAGTTCATTTATTTCGTACTCTCCAGTAAAATTTGGTACACAAGCTGAACGATTGTCATTGTTCATAATTTTGGTATGATTCTTGTTTTAATACTTTTAATATTATTTGTGTAAATATACGCTGAAATCGAATAAAATACATAAATAATTAACCAAGGTTTTAAAATAGTTATACGTACAGTTCTGTGTGATGTGTTGTTTTAATATGTGTTTAAACCTACAATGTATAAATTAACAATGATGGATTCATAATAATCAAATAAATCAATATTTATTTTAGTATCCAAGCGTATGACTAGATACTTGTAAATACAAAAGTAAAATTTAATTCTTTTTTGCTAATTTACAAAAAGGTGATTCATTCATCATGAACCACTTAATTAATTAAAAAGTAAAATTAATTTTGAATTTTTTCGTTTCTATTAGGAACATGTGTCTCTCCAAATATAAATATCCAAAATATGAAATATATTTTTATGTTCATATTTTATATAAAGGTGTCAACTTTAATTTTTCAAATGGCAAGATTTTTTTAATTAATTGACTAATTTATTTAATAGACAAAGATTCAATTAAAAAATGTTTGGTCGATAACAATTATTGGTCCAGTATTTCTGAAGTTATTGACATTTTTATACCAAATTGGGCAGAAGAATGCGCCCGAGAAATAACTAGTAATACAAATAACAATATACACGTCTCATTTACAGTCTTTACTACAACTTGTATATAAGTTTCAAAATACTGGTCTACAAATTGTTATGGACCAGTCATTTTCTTAATTAAATAGTTATTTGTTAAATGAACTAGTTAATTATGGATGTTATCTTTTAATAAAACATAAAGGTGTCTTTTAAAAAAAATGATCTCAAATTATTTTTATTTTTTGACCAAGTTGTTCACTAATAATTTTATAGAAAGTGTTCAAACTTTTGCTATTTAATATTTTGAAACAAGTTAAATATTTTTAAATTTATTTTTCACGTAAATATAAAATAACATTTAGGATGTTTTAAGGTTAATATTTTTAAATATATGTATGTTAATATTGTGTTTTTGCAAATTAATAAATGTATTTTTAGAAAATTATTAAATTTTAGAGTAGCTAATCCAATATTGATTAAATAGCAAAAGTATTCCTAATATAAAATATATAATGTTGTTAAGTTGATTAATTTTCTATGAATATAAGGCGTGGCTGTTTAATAAACCTACCTAGGTGTTTAATATTTAATGAGTTATTTTCAATATTCATTGAACAAAAAATTACATTCAGTTTAGTGATTGTTGTTGAATTTCTTTCATTAGGGCTCTCTGGAACTTTGAATATAATAACATTTTTCTCTTTAGCATATATTTCTTGAGTTTCATGTATGGCATTCAGAATTAAATCATGTGGCACTAAATCATTACTTTCAAGTAATTTAACTTTATCGTTAAGAACTTGAACTTTAGACTCTAAGTTCGGATGTAACACTGTTGATAGTAGATTTGAACTTTATGAGACCNTAGACTCTAAGTTCGGATGTAACACTGTTGATAGTAGATTTGAAGTTTATGAGACCTGTTTCTAAACTTAATAATTTACTATTGAAATCTTTAAAAGCAGTATAATTTGATGACTTATTTGCATTGACTAAATTCCATAGATTTTCTAAAGTGCCCTCTTNTTTGCATTGACTAAATTCCGTAGATTTTCTAAAGTGCCCTCTTTTTTTTTATGTTGTTTTCTTTAAAGGTGTCTCCAATTTACATTTTTGACTCATTAAAAATAAAATTATCAATATTTTGTGACTCTGATTTAATAAGATGTTCTAAAAATAAATTAACAACTGATATAATTAATGTTTAGTAATAGTAAATGGTAAAATAATAAAACAAATATAAATATATTAAATTATTAATATTAAATGTATGAAAATTGTCCTAATATTGCTACAATTGGGATTTGATAGAGTGATTAAAGATTTTAATGATATATTTTGAAGTATTCGTATAATAACCACGTCCGATGATTCGATTACATCCTATTAATTAGCTTCTGACAAATGTTTTAAGAAAAAAACAAGAAAATGTAGATTCTCATATTACGTACCCGTTATAGAAGCGCGATTAATATTTAAGATGCCACATAAAAAGTAAAGAAGTCTCCTGTGATTCAACTGTAACAAAATATTGTATTAATAAAAAACCTACTAGTATGCGAGTGACACCGATTGTGGCCACAATACACACTACCCTAATAGAAAAACCAGTTAGGGCAGGTCGCTCTCTTGGCAATAACAACCGAAACATGAACATAATTAAACTATTGATTATTGTTGTGTTATCACATTTGGCATGACCGAATACATTCCAAGCGTTAAGAGCTTTTTTCAAATTTCTTAAGTAGTTTTCTCGGTTAGAACATTAAAAAAACAACAACAAAAAAACTTATTCATTTATATACTTAATCTATAATTGAATGAACTTTAACAATATTATAGAGACCCTTTTCATTTATCCCCATTTTTTTTTTCTAATAACACAATTTAAATTATAATTAAATTTAATTCAAAACTAATGAAGTCCTTTCCTTTTTTTTAGCATGGAATGTATCATTATAAGATTTAATAACAAACAATATATTAATAAACAACTTTCATACTATGACAAATCAATAAATTCCCATGCCATTTTTTCAGTTTAATAATCATGACATTTTTGGTAAATCTGATTAATCAAACAAGGCATATTTAGTACAGCACAAAATTGCTCTAAATTTATGAATACCTGATAAGTATTCATTGAATTTTATTGAATTTTATACTAAAGAAAAAAATGGAGGGGTGTCCTGAAAGAAATTTCGAAATTCGAAAAATAAGGACCACCCTAGTATTCAATGTAGCAGTAACTACTGCAGTAATTTTTTTAAGAGAATCACTTCACTCGAGATCCTTTTAATAAATAATTTATTATTATTGCATAACTTACATTCAAAATGAAATCCTGAAAAAAACTTTTTTGAACTTCAACTTTAAATAGGAGATTTTAAAAATTACAGGCGCAAAACTCGTGTTTAATTGATTTCAAATTATTGAAAAAATACTCAATATTCATTATTCTACGACCATTTAAATTATACCTAAAATGGTAAACTATTTGTATTAATTTCATTATAAAATAATATTATCAAAACTACACAATTTTTTTATGAATAATTGGTTAATTTCTAANGAAAAAACAAGAAAATGTAGATTCTCATATTACGTACCCGTTATAGAAGCGCGATTAATATTTAAGATGCCACATAAAAAGTAAAGAAGTCTCCTGTGATTCAACTGTAACAAAATATTGTATTAATAAAAAACCTACTAGTATGCGAGTGACGCCGATTGTGGCCACAATACACACTACCCTAATAGAAAAACCAGTTAGGGCAGGTCGCTCTCTTGGCAATAACAACCGAAACATGAACATAATTAAAATATTGATTATTGTTGTGTTATCACATTTGGCATGACCGAATACATTCCAACCGTTAAGAGCTTTTTTCAAATTTCTTAAGTAGTTTTCTCGGTTAGAACATTAAAAAAACAACAACAAAAAAACTTAATCATTTATATACTTAATCTATAATTGAATGAACTTTAACAATATTGTAGAGACCCTTTCATTTATCCCCATTTTTTTTTTCTAATAACACAATTTAAATTATAATTAAATTTAATTCAAAACTAATGAAGTCATTTCCTTTTTTTTAGCATGGAATGTATCATTATAAGATTTAATAACAAACAATATATTAATAAACAACTTTCATACTATGACAAATCAATAAATTCCCATGCCATTTTTTCAGTTTAATAATCATGACATTTTTGGTAAATCTGATTAATCAAACAAGGCATATTTAGTACAGCACAAAATTGCTCTAAATTTATGAATACCTGATAAGTATTCATTGAATTTTATTGAATTTTATACTAAAGAAAAAAATGGAGGGGTGTCCTGAAAGAAATTTCGAAATTCGAAAAATAAGGACCACCCTAGTATTCAATGTAGCAGTAACTACTGCAGTAATTTTTTTAAGAGAATCACTTCACTCGAGATCCTTTTAATAAATAATTTATTATTATTGCATAACTTACATTCAAAATGAAATCCTGAAAAAAACTTTTTTGAACTTCAACTTTAAATAGGAGATTTTAAAAATTACAGGCGCAAAACTCGTGTTTAATTGATTTCAAATTATTGAAAAAATACTCAATATTCATTATTCTACGACCATTTAAATTATACCTAAAATGGTAAACTATTTGTATTAATTTCATTATAAAATAATATTATCAAAACTACACAATTTTTTTATGAATAATTGGTTAATTTCTAAAGAAAATTTGTATAAGTATCAAGAGGCTTTGATGCGAAGCTAAAGAGGTATAATTTTACTATGATGATTTTTTTTTTGTGTCTGTTGCCACTTTTTCTGAGCTTTCATCGAATCAATTTCTTTCAATAATACGCCAAAGAGTTAAATATCGTATCTAGTTGAAGACATTGTTCGTAAAAATTGANAATAACAAACAATATATTAATAAACAACTTTCATACTATGACAAATCAATAAATTCCCATGCCATTTTTTCAGTTTAATAATCATGACATTTTTGGTAAATCTGATTAATCAAACAAGGCATATTTAGTACAGCACAAAATTTCTCTAAATTTATGAATACCTGATCAGTATTCATTGAATTTTATTGAATTTTATACTAAAGAAAAAAATGGAGGGGTGTCCTGAAAGAAATTTCGAAATTCGAAAAATAAGGACCACCCTAGTATTCAATGTAGCAGTAACTACTGCAGTAATTTTTTTAAGAGAATCACTTAACTCGAGATCCTTTTAATAAATAATTTATTATTATTGCATAACTTACATTCAAAATGAAATCCTGAAAAAAACTTTTTTGAACTTCAACTTTAAATAGGAGATTTTAAAAATTACAGGCGCAAAACTCGTGTTTAATTGATTTCAAATTATTGAAAAAATACTCAATATTCATTATTCTACGACCATTTAAATTATACCTAAAATGGTAAACTATTTGTATTAATTTCATTATAAAATAATATTATCAAAACTACACAATTTT